GCATTCCAGGGAAAAGTAATGGAAAGGTGGCAGCCAGGCCACCCCATTCCATGGAAAGCCAAGGTGCTGGGTGAGGGCATAAGTGGCTCTGGATTAATTTTGATGGAATTAGCAGTCCCCCCAAAGTCAAGTGGTGTCACCATGACTGTCACCACACCCTGAAATCAGTTAAATCAGCCTTGAGGCTTAGAAAAGAGAAACTTTAATTACTCTGTGCCCCAGCAGTCTTGTCAAACTTCTCTTAGTTCCTTTGGTAATGACACAGAAAAACGAGCAAGAAAAAATCCAAAAATCTTAAATAGTAATGACACAGAAAAACAAGCAAGAAAAACATCCAAAAATCTTAAAATCCCCCAAAAATTCAGGTTTGTAGGACCACAGACTTTGCAAATGCAAAAATGAGCTCAACAGATTTAATTGATGATGATGATGGGGGTTTCTCTAAAGAATATCAGGGATCAAAAGGAAAGACAATACCACCTTGTATCCTGTCCTAAATTCCAGTGGATTTTAGGGCAGGCACAGAGCATTGGCCTGCCCTGGTGGCAGCTGTGGAGGAAGGAGGTCCATGATGAAGAATCCAGGAACTGGAAAAGAAACAGAGAGATGTCTTCTCCAGTATGAGAGGAAATGACCTGGAGTTGTGCCAGGGGATGTTTAGCTTGGATATTAAAGAAAATATCTTCACCAAAAGCATTGGGAAATACTGGAACAGCTTCTCAGGAAGTGATGGAGTCCTCATCTCTGGAAGCGTTCAAGACACGTGTGGATGTGGCACTTGAGGACATGGTAGTGGTGGAGCTGGTTGATGGTTGAGTTTGATGATCTCAGAGGTCTTTTCCAACTTTAAGGATTCTGGGACATTCATTACTATGAGAAAGGCATATCCAGAGGAAATGTTGCTCCCCACAAGTGTGAGGCTGAGGCTGATGGACCCACAAGCTCATGGATCTCCAAACTCCTGGAGATACCAGAATGGGAAGAAAAAAATCCATTTTAATGGGTCTCCCTGAGCCAAGAAAGGTGCTATCAGAGCTGGGGATATCTGAGCCTTGCTTAGCTCCATGGAGAAAAACATCCCTGGTTTTCTGAGAACAAGAGAGTCATCATGTTGAGACAGAAAGCTTCCAAAGCAGTCTGGGATAGATTTCTTCCTGAAAGCATCAACAATTTTCAAGCATGGCAACCTTTCCCAGCTGAGGTATTCCTGGATTTTATCCACTATTATTTAAAAACTCATGAGCACAAGTTTTGCCCCTTTGCTTTCATGTCATAATAGCTAAAAATCTTTGCTCACACAGAGTTTGGCGGGGAAATATTGTGGATATTGAAGTTCTGGAGTGCTGGCCTCAATTTCTGAACCAATATCACTGGGTGAAGCTACAAACACTGAACTTAGGTGAGTATGAAAGACCAATGCAAATGTTTCCTTTCTCTCACTCTCTGAAGGCTTTTTGGGCATCTTTATGCTTGAAAGGTATGGATTAAATAACCACATTTAAATTGTCAGTGCCCAAGGAACATCAGCTTCTTAGATCCTCTGCAACTGGAATTTATCTGGGGATCCTGTGACTGTTGTTCACAAAACCAAGCTGCAAAAAATGTACAAATGCCGATTATCCATTGTGCAACTGTGGAGGAAAGTTCTCCTGGACTGAGTTTATGTGGCAAGGTTCTGACAGTGGCGGGTTATAAGACTCCTGAGTCTTTGCTTATATTTTTCTTCCCTGTCCAGCTGAGGAGGGCAGGGGTAGAACAAGGTCAAGCCACGACATTTCACTGAAAAAAATCCACAACAATTACAACAAAACTCCCCCCCCCACCAGTAAAGTATTTTTCCTTTGAATGCCTTTCAAATTTAAAAAAACCCCAAGCAAATACAGGAAATAAAATCCAAAAGCTGACTTTAAGTAGGTTTGACTCTAATAGCTGGTTTCATGTTGGATGGAAAGGGATCAGGTTGGATATGTTACCGGCTAAAATATGCTAATGGGATTTAAATGACGTTGTACCTGCCTGGGGAATTAATTTTGGGATTTTAGGCAAACTGCAACAAGGCATCTGGTGACATCACCTGTTTTCTGTAGGCACTAATGGAACTGTTCACAAAAAGCAGAGCTGGATGACAAGCAGCAGGTGAATGAGCTTGGGGAGCAGTGATTTTGTAATTTTAGAATATTTTTTTTTTCCTAGAAAGACACTGTTGCTAAAACAGTGCTAAAAACTAGTTGAAAAGCAAAATTGCTCCACAAAATGGCACCACTTGGACCAAGGATTTGTGTCCTCAGAAGGTTTTGGCATGGTACCAACCAGGAACTTGGAGTGAGTCCTGACCCTCCTCTAGGAGAAGCCTGTCAAACAGCAGGAGCACATCCAGAAGAGCTGCAAATCGAGGGAATTGTAAAGACAAAAGGAAGCCTGGCAAATCAGTCACACCCACTGTTTCCTGGCATGGAAAAGGCCTGGAGATTAAATGGCCTGGTTGAGCTGCCTTGTTTCATCCATTTGTTTGTAAAATGAAAGCCAAGGAGTTTATCCAGCCTTTTTTTGTAATCCTGGCAAGCCCAGCTCATAACCTTTCCAGCTGCTGGCACCAGGATCTTTGGTTAACTGAGTCCTATTGCTGGACAATCTTGAGAAGAAAGGAGCCCAAACACTGACAGAAAATATGAACTGCAGAAAGCGGCTACAGGCAGGGAAGGGACAGTGACAAAAACCCCAAACCAGGCAGAGGGAAAATGCTCAAGCTACAGAGTGTGCCCATGTTTCACCCTGAGAACAATGCACACATACCTGCAGCTACAAAATTCCAGGGCAAAACATCTGGTATGAAATCACAGAGTCATGGAATCAACAAGGCTGGAAAATATCTCCAAGATTATCCCATCTGCTCTGTGACTGATCCTCATAGCACTGAATGCCACCTCCAGCCCTTCCCTGGACACCTCCAGGGATGGGGATTCCAAAGCTCCCTGGGCATCCCCTGCTAATGGGATTGAGGGAAGAGAGGAGATGAGATAGCAGAGTTCTTAAAGTGGATTTTGTTGTTACAACCAGTAACAAGAACTTCAAGAGGTGCCCAACAGCACAGTCCAGGGACAGCTCTAAAGGAGCCCTCCATGGTTTATTTTGGGTGGTTTCTCCAGAGCTGAGCTTCAAACACCATATCTCAGCTCACATACAACTATTTTCTGCTAAGCGCTGTGCCATGATTAACAGGATTTCCTTTCAAAACCCCAACTATCACCTTCAGAATGTTAGAATTAATCTGCTGGCCACTTAATCCCGGGGCAAAGCGAATGAATCTCTCTCTAGATGAAAGGAAAAGGAATGAGCTTTTCAGTCCTCTTTTTTTTTACACCCCAGAGAGCATTTCAGGAGTGTAACACAGCCTGAACCAACTTGCAAGTCTTTAATTTACATCTTCCGATTTCCCAGCTGAGAGTTTGAGATCAAAACCACCAAACTCACAGCTGTGAGAGCAGTTCACGAAGAACAAACCCACAAAAGCTGGAACCAGGTTTTTCATGTAAAAGGTGGAGACTGTTATAATTACTCCATGTTGCCACTGAATTGTATAAAGGCTTCCTTGATATTTTTGGGTGTGTGTGGAAATTCTGAGTAAATCCTGGGTAGGAAGGCTAAGATTGTAAGGTGAAGAAGATAAAAAGAGCATAAGACAGAAAAAATAAATGAGATTTTCTTCTGCCAAGATGAGCACAGGTCTAAATCTCAGAATTTTCATGATCACTCTATAGCAATGTGTCAAGAGATAGCTCTGTTTCAATCTCAAATCCTTCTAGAACAGCCCATTCTTGTTATTTATTAATAATTATTGATATTATTTTAGATCTGCCCTTATAGACAAGGTCAGATGTATAGAGATTTCTCCCCCACCTGTGCTATTATTCCACGGCAGAGCTGCTGCATTCCCAGCAGCACAATCCAGCTGCAAACTTTCAGGAAAAATAATTCCATTGCCTCCGCCTGATCAATAAACACATATCCTTAAATAGTCCAACATTTTATAATATGAAAATTGAAAAAAATCACCATTTTGTTATATAAAACACAAGTGTGAGCAGCAGTTGGTGGGGCTGGTTGTGGGGTCACAGACTAGTGCAAACATAGAAGACCTGGAGATAGCTCTTGACAAAAAAAAAATGTTATTTTTGAAAGAGAAGTGGGATTTTTCCAGATTTTTCTGAAGAGGTGGACAGTCAGTTATGGAAAAGGGCTGGATAAAGTACAAACCATCAATAAAACTTCCACATCTGGGAGAAGGGAAGAAGAGGAGCAGGTGTTGAATAGCACAGAGAAGAAACAGAAGATGAACATCTGTGAATCCACAAACCCTTGGCTGTTAAACAATAACACAAAGCAGCAGCAAAATCCCTTTTTCCATGATCAAGGCAGACACACACAGGCTTCACCCACACCAACCAAAGGAGAACTCCCAGATTTCAGATAGGTTTGGTCAAGATCCATGGAAAACACAGTCAGACCACATGGAGGTGGCCAGTGCTGTCCAGCCCTTCAGTGATGCCTCAGGTTTTAGCTTTTATATTTTTCAGATTCTGTGCTGCTTTAGTGTGTGGGTGGGTCTGGGCTTCACATTAAGAGATGGTGAGCTCTGTGCACAGAGCAGGGAGCACCTAGCTCTAGCTGGGCACCAAGGACAAATGATCCAAATCTCAGCCTCAAGAGCACAAACAACGTGGGCTGGAGAGAGAAAAACAAGCAGGATGGGACTGCATGGGCTAAAGCTGGAATTGGATAATTAACTGCAAAATGCAAATAGAGCAGAACTGATCAAAGTGACAGACCCCGTGACTGGGTGTCCATTTTGTGCCCATTTTGGTTCACCTTGGGTGCAGCCCTGGCTGGGCTCTTGTGCTGCCCAAGGTGCATCCGTGGAGGAGATCCTTTTAGTAAATCCCTGCTTTATTCTTTAATTCTGCTCTAGGTCAGACTTCCCAAGGCCCCAGCAGGACACTCACCCCGTCGGGTCTGCCGTCCGAGGCCGTGACGATGAGGATGTAGCGGTCAGTGCTCTCTCTGTCCAGCGGCTTTCCCAAGGACAGCAGGCCAGAGCTGGCAATGAAACAACACCAGGACACGTTAGCAGGACACCTGGGAGAGGCCTATGAGCACCTGAGCTCCACCACCTTGCTGACACCAAGGCTCTTCTTTGTAGGAGCTTTTAGACTTTCTGTGAGTGAAAGCCAAGAAAAGCCATGAGCCAATTCCTAATGCTCTCCACTCGGATACAGGAATAATCCTGGATTAAAACATCAACCTGTCTCAGGAGGTTTGGGTATTTAGGTTCACAATCTTTCCCTCACACCGAATTATAATTCTTTTGCACTAGGAATTAATAAACCCCAGGTTACTTCTCTCCCATCATTTATTGTGGGAAGTCAGCTCACCACCCTCCCTTCCTCCTGCAAGGAAAAGGATACTTTGGATTGCAAATAATAATTAATGGCTAATAATAGGTAAAATAAACCTAGGTGGTGGGTCAGGCACAGACCAATCTGGTGCTTACACTTCATAATAAACCCTCTCCTTTTCACTCTATTTAAGTTGGAATTCAATTTAAGGAAAATACAGTTCTTAAACGATGCTCAAAAGGCTTTTCACTACAGGCTAAACCATAACAAGTCAGGAAATTAAAGCAAAAATTGTCCCTGCCATTAGTCAGGAGCTGACAGGTAAAAGGGGTTTTAATTAATCCCTGGCCACTCTTTTAAATGGAATCTTTCCACCTCAGTGAGTTTCTCTTACCCAAAGTGTTTTAAATAAATAAACAGGGGCCAGTGACAAAGCCCAGAGCGGATTTTGGCTCACAAAGCTCTCATTAATGGCTGACAGCCCCTGGAAGGAGCAGCTGAAGGTGTCTGAGCACAACCCTTTTCTCTCAGCTCCTCATTCCCTGGGCTGACAAGTTCCAAGCCTGTTTTCCAAGAGTTTCCCACTTACCTCTGAGAGAGATTAAAAACTTGCTGAGGATCTCCATTCTGAATGAGGTATTTGATGGGGTCGCCCTCTCTATCGAAAGCCTTTAGAGAAGGAAAAAAGTATAAAATTCAGTCAGTGGCAAAAGTTTCCTCTCTTCCCTTCTATGCAGAAACTGGGGAATTAAGTTTTAGGAAAGTTTCCCACAGGTATGACACCAATCCCTGTTTCTAAAGCAACTCTGGTTATTGATGGGCTACTCAAGATAAAGCTGGAGCACATCAGAATTCCTATGCTGCACAGAAATGACAATATCCTGGATGCAGGATAATAATTGCTATTAATTATTATTAATTATCTAATTATCAAATTACAGCTACGTCCAGCAGCATGAGTATGAAATCCAGGCTTTAATCATTTACTTCTATTTTTCTGCAGCTCCATACTGATTAAACTGAACTTTCAGTTTCCTTTCTTCCCATTCTTCACTTCCATTTTCAATCAAGATCCCACTTTCTGTTGTTTTATTAGAATCCCAGTCTTTGGCTGATGCTCCAGTGAGTTCCAACTGCAGCTGGATAAAGTACAAATCATTCATCCCACTCACCCTCCCCAATAATTTGCTTTTTGGGGGTTGAAGATCAGGGTAAGGCCTTTAAGAACAGACATTAACAGCACCAAAATGAATATATTCCACCTATTAGGTTTAAAAAAAACCCTTCAAAAATTGAATAAATTATTTTTGATGCCTCTCCTGGTGCCACCTGAGTCCATTTCCTCTGGTCTAGAAGAGAAGAGGCCAACACCCCCCACCTTGCTCCTGTCAAGTTATTTCTGTGGGCCACAATCAAAGGCTGCATAGCTTTGAGCTGATCACCTAAAAAGCAGTTTTTGACATAAAACCCCAAGAAAAATAAAAAAAAAAAAACCCAACTTAAACACCCTTCAAAATTAAGAACAGAAGCACAAGCCATTTCAATGTGCAGGCAGAGCAGGAAATGCAGTAAGAAAACAACTTGGCTTAGCCAAATAAAAAAGAGGGGCTAAGTCAGATGGAAGGGATCAGCCCAAAGAAAGAGCAAGAAAAACTGGATGGGGACACAGCCAGAAGTCAAGGCAAAACAGGAATAGAAACAGGAGAGAACACAAAGGATAACAAAGAAACGTTTAAGTTACACAAGGAACCTGAGGAGCGGTTTGAAAAGCAGAAGGGATAATGTTGAAAAGGTCAGAGAGGTAAAACTGCTCCATTCCAGCTCCAAACCAAATTAACTGGGGCAAAACTTCAGCTGAGAGCTGGGCAAGAGCCAGGCAGAGATGTTGATAAACAGAGCATCTTTGGGTCAGCTGCTGGAATTCAGCCTGATGAAGTCCATCCTGATGTATACAAGGGCTGGAGCAATCTCAAAGCCATCAGAGATTATTTTTTTTTTTTTTTGGGCTCTCCCAGAGAACTAAAATGCTGGAGGGCAAACCCAAGGTCTATCCTTCATGGAGGAATGAGCTAGGAAATCATGCACCAGGCAGGTGGAGTGCAATTCCCAGAAACCCACAAATATCCAAATTATTTGTAAGATGGATGACACAGAACTGAATTTCTCCAGCATACAAGGATGCTGAAGCAAAATTTAATCTGATTTTCCAACAGGACAAGTCTCCTGAACAGGGCAGAAATTGTTGCTCAATAAAGCTGAGCCATGGTGCAAGGTCTTCCTAACAGTCTCCAAGTGGAGAGTGGTGTGATGGTGTTCACAGGGATCTCAGGATGAGGGAAGAGACGAGGATCTGACTCCATGTTTCAGAAGGCTCGATTTATTATTTTATGATCTATATTACATTAAAACTATACTAAAAAAATAGAAGAAAGGATTTCATCAGAAGGCTGGCTAAGAATAGAATAGCAAAGAATGATAACAAAGGTTCGTGGCTCAGACTCTGTCTGAGCCAGCTGACTGTGATTGGCCATTAATTAGAAACAACCACATGAGACCAATCACAGATCTACCTGTTGCATTCCACAGCAGCAGATAATCAATGTTTACATTTTGTTCCTGAGGCTTCTCAGCTTCTCAGGAGGAAAAATCCTAAAGAAAGGGTTTTCCATAAAAGATGTCTGTGACAGGGTGGGATTAAGCAAGAATTAAACCCATTATCAAACTGAAGGCCAGGCAGTAGTGGGTGGTGCTAGCACTGACTCAGTTCTGCATGGATTTGTACAGCTCTCCCAGCACTGATCAATATTCCCATCCACAACATCGATGACAGACTGGGAAAATTGTTTATAAATTCCATGAGTGGCACTGAATGACAGGAGGTGTGGGTGGAATTTGGATCTCCTTGGCCTGAGGATATGAACAGTCAGGACGTGAGCCAGGAACACAAAACGCTGTGAGCACTGGAGGCAGACCATTGGAGGAGCTGGCATCTCTGGGGACTGTCCTTGGTCCTGAATCACCAGAACCCCATGGCTGCTCCTGTCTTCAGCCCTTTGTCCTCCTTTTCCCTTCCCTGCAAGGCATCCTGCCCTCCCTTCACATGAAGTTGTCTCAGGGGTATCATTATGGTCTGCATTCTCTCATAGCAAGTCAGGGGCTCTCAGAAAGCCAGAAAATCAGGCTAGCTGTAATTGATTTGATTTTCTCCTTATCCCCACAGAAAATCTTTTTTAAAAAAGGGGAAAAGTTTCTTTTAAAAACTCCTGCTTTTAATCATTGCTTTTAAAAACTTCTGCTTTCTTTAAAAGCAAAAAACACAAAGTTCTTGTGTACAGAAGAAAACCCCCCAAGGCAAGGGAGAAGAGCAACTTATTCCTGATTTTTTCCAGATCAATGGCACAGAGTGATTCCATAAATTGGACACAACAATTCCATGTTAGCTCCTTGTTCAGCACATAACTGGACCCTGCTAACAGCCCCATTTGTTCTGCAGGCTCCCAGAAAAATGACAGCATTTGCATATTTTAATTAATAATGGCTGGCAGAACATGAAGCCATAAACGCCTCCCAGGCATGCAATAAACTCTGAGGTTTATTTACAAATTAATGCAGTGGAGATCATTTAATATTGCATTAATCTCAAATGTTGTTAATTAAAACACCAGTCAAGACCAGCCGGGTGCATTAGAAAATAAATAAGGGGATAAGAAAGAAATAAAGCTCTCCATCATCAGCATAAGAAATTTTAATGGACAAGAAAAAAGTGAATTTTATTTTTCCAAAGTCTAAAGGGCAAATTTAAAGCAGCTACATTTGCATTGTTACTCACCCTAATGTTTTGCAGACCTTCAGATTTGATAATTTGGGAATACTTGAAAAGTTTTGCTGGCTCTCTACAGGATTTTGTAACCCTCCTGCTGTATGCAGAACTACCAAATTATTACTAAGAGAGAGCCATAAAAGCATAATTTCTAAACCTGCACCAGCCGAAACACTGATTGGATTGATAAGACACAGGAAAAGAAACATCAGTGTGAAAATTTACACATGAAAACACTTGTGCAGTATTTGAGGCCTGGTGTTATTCCATATCATTGATGGAACACAGGCAATAAAACCCAAACCAATCTGCCTAACAGGGAATTTTGTGTTGCCTGGAAAAGGCAGCACAGGATTTGAGAAGTTTAAATATTCAGTTAATTAATGTTTAAAATATCCTGGTGGATTTTGCACAGGAGGGAATAAAGGAAGATGAAAACAGAAATATGCTGCCCACAGGAGAATACTTTTAATCCAGATTGAGGTTTTAATGCAGGACAAGGGAGCTGGACTTGGAACTGGGTTGGGAGAGATTCTTAAAGGCCATCCAGTGTCACCCCTGCCATGGACAGGGACACCTTTCACTATTACTGCTCCAAGCCCCAAAGTCCAGCCTGGCCTTGGGCACTGCCAGGGATCCAGGGGCAGCCACAGCTGCTCTGGGCACCCTGTGCCAGGGCCTGCCCACCCTGCCAGGGAACAATTCCTAATTCCCAATATCCCATCCAGCCCTGCCCTCTGGCACTGGGAATCCATTCCCTGTGGCCTGTCACTCCAGATACTTGTAAAAAGTCCCTCTCTGTGGGATCTCAGTCTCTCAGAACTGGGGTGCAGGGTGAACAAGACCCCCCCCTGGGGGGCTCGGGAGTCCTGGAATGCTGCCGGAGATGTCTGGTGGCTGGACTTTGATCCCACATGGGAGATGACATCAGTATGAGGACGGGAGGATTTCACTGGGGTGAATGGTGAAGGGACAAGTTAATTGGGGTGTGAGATACAGGGCTTAAGATTTCTGTACAGGGGGGTCTAGAGAAGTAAGATGGAAGAATTGGGGCGTGCCCTTCTCCTTCTTCTTCTTCCTCTAGGCCTCCATCTTCTGTGGTGATGTTGGCACTCCGGGATTGGACCTTACTGGGGGAACACTGGTTAATAAGGGTAGAGGGTATTGGAGAAAAATGATAAATATTGTATACGTAACTCCGGGTATAAAGATAGGTGACCGCCCCAGGGGCTTTCAGTGTGTGCCCATGGCTGACTGCTGAGCAGAACTCTGTCAGGCCAAGAGAAAATCTTTTAGATAAGCAATTAATAAACACCAAGACCAAGAACAAATCTGAAGCTTCCTCTCGTCCTTTCGAACCCGGGGGCCCAAGGCCATCTTTGGGCTTTTCCCCAGACCATCTGAACAGCCCAGAAATCCCACAACTGGCGTCTGCTGTGCGGGCAATCTCCCACCAAACCTTTCGGGGGGGGGAAAGCCCTGAAGAGCTGAAGAGCCAAGAGAACAGCACTGATAACTCCAGAGGAGGGAAGCCTGAAGAAAGAAAGAAGAAAAAGAAAAAACCGGCCGGGAGAAGCTGCAAAAATCAGCAGTCACTGAGAAATCCCATCTCTCAGCTTCTGCTGAAGACAGCTCGTAGCAGAGCGGCCTGGATTGGGACCAGAAAGGCGCCTCTGATCCATCCCTCGTAATCTGCTGGACGGAGAACAAGGGCCTCCAGACCACGCTGGCGACAGATTCGGTAAGAAGGCCAAAATAATATTATGGGGGCAACACTCTCCCAAGAACAACGGGAAATCTTATCCACCTTACAAAGTGTAGCAGAATTATATACAGAAGGGATCCCAAA